CTACATATTCCCCTTTGCCCTTATATATACATATAAGCGTTTAAATTTACCTTGGTCTTAATTTTTGCCTTTATCTTTACGCATCTTTGTTTTTGTTTTTATTTTTAACTTTGCCTTTATCCTTTTCTTTATCTATGTATCTACGTACTCACCTTTACTTTCATTTTTGTATTGGTATTTTTCTAAGTGTTATTCTTTAACCTTTTATTAGTTGTATACCATACGCATACACACAAGAAGCACTTGTTTCAGCTCCAACCATTTCCGTTGCACCATTTCCGTGTGCGATTTCCGTTGAATTTGCCAATTTACTCCCAACCAACAAACAGCCGCTAAAGAAGTTTCACTTCAAAAATTAAGTCTGAATATTATTCTCATTTTCTAATAAAGAATGACCACTTTGCACTTCAATAAGGCAAGTGTGTTAATTAACATCGAAGGCGCGGGTTAAAATCCCGCCGTATGCAATACGCCTAAAATATATCGGTTTATTTATTGCTTCAATATAAATTCCAAAGTATAGACATGCTGGCGGAAGCTCAAAGTACGAAATAGATTTGAAGTCAAAATAAAAAAAAATATTCGACAGAAAATTGATATTTTATTTTCGTTAAAAATTAGTTTAAAATATAAATAAATCAACCAAAACAAAAAAGTTTCAATGGATATTTTAGTAACGTAACGTTACACATTCCACTTGCCCCATTCACCAGACTGGTTATGAATAAGATAGTTTTCGAGAATAAATTTAAAATGGTGCTCTTCAGCAAGTTAACTTTGAGTACTTAGCTCCATTATGTATGAACATGTCCAGGCAAGCACGCTGTAGTGGTATACATACGGCTCTTAAGCACCAGAAGGCATTGGAGTAGGCATTTGTCTTGAAATTCACGAGTATTTTTCTCAAACTATACCAACTCCCGACCTGTGAATGCTGTTTAACGAGAAAAGCCACCAACGAGACAGAGCTTTAACTGCTTCGGGAGACCCGCCCAACTTTGTTCCAGCTACTGCAGCAGGCTCAACCTCACACCTGAACAGAATAAATCCTGACGTATCTAACGTATATCCGGTATGTGGAGAGTTTACTAACGACTCTAAACATTTCGTAACATGCCCGCTTCAACAACGCACAACGCCCTATGGTCCAACCCTCTCATAGTAGCTCGCTTCCTGAAAATAACGATTGAGAGACAAACCGAAATAGGCAGGGCTAAGTAAGCCGCTAGAACAATCAATAACTAGGTCACAAGGGAATACAGGGAAACGAAATAGCGTATGGCTTAGTCATGAAGGCAGCGGCCTGAACTCTCACAGGGTTGAAGTTTTGTTTGCAGTGGTATCAAACACGATCAGGTAAGAGGTTGTAGGAATGAGAGACCAGCAGTAGCATAGCAACAGAGGACTTTTCCGAGCCAAAAGCTTAATGGATTGGTTTAACCTGTAGAGATAAAGGCCTCTAATTAACCTCTCTGAAGATCCCTTACACTGCGCCTAATCTGAAGATACTCTATTGCACCTACTCCTTATCTGTGATACCGTTTTGATGTGACGAGAAAATAGTCTAGGCTTAATATGTAAGCTGACCAACCGTCCTCCTTTGAGGAGGATTGTCCTCCTCAAACGTGATTTGTCCTCCTCAAAAACATAGTCCTTCTCTATCCTCATTTTGGGCAAAAATGTCCTCCTTTTCCTCCCTTCCAAGTACAAAACTAGATGCAGTGATGAATTTTTCAAAAAATTTCGTTGAAAATATTATTACATATTTCCTAATCGTACACAATCATTATATTTAAAAGGCAAATGATGTAAACTTTTAACTGAACAGTGTAAACGCCTCTAGCCTTAACTAATAATATTTAATACGGCTTTTCCACGGCACCCTAATAACATAGTTCGCTCTCTCATTCATAATTCGCACTCCAATTACCATGTGAATTACGAACAAATCACTGTCATCGAAAAGTAAAGTTTTACATGAGCACATCACCAATTTAATACAGAGGCTTATAAATTTTAAGCAATAACTTACATTTTGTAGCGAAGAAAAAAACAAAACACAAAGATAGAGAACTGTCGAATCGAATTAAGAATGTGCCCGTGGGAATGGGGGAATTCCCGATCGTAATTTGAGGAGCAAACAAAAGGTTTGTATAGTAACTAATAGTCAGTACTAATTTGTACTGGAATCTGCAAATTTTTACTGGAAAAGTGTATGATAACCCAAAAAATTTGCAAGAGAGCACTGAATCGAGAGCGTAACAATACGGGAGAGCTGCAAATTCTTGCTTGTGAAAATTTTACTAGCAGAAATTAGCTAGCAGAAGAAGAAAAATAAATGTCAAAAGCTGCCATTTGTTGCATTCGTTTAGCACAAACAAAAGTAAAATGAGTGTAAATCAAAATATCCATGATGTACTGGACAGTGTAAGTGCTTGTGTGTTAAGCAAAGAGTTTAAAACTGATTTATGAATAGTAAAATGTTTACATAGTGCAGCGAATTAAAATTCAGCGGCTCCGCTGGCTTGGCCATGTCGTTCGAATGGACAGAAACGCTGCTGCTCTGAAAATATTCAACGCGGGCCGTGATGCTGGTAACAGAGGAAGAGGAAGGCCTCCTCTGCGTTGGAAAGACCAGGTAGAGAAGGACTTGGCTTCACTTGGCATTTCCAATTGGCGTCAGTTAGCACAGAAGAGAAATGACTGGCGTGCTGTTTTGGACTCGTCCAAAATCGCTTAGGTGGTTACAGCGCCAATAAAGAAGAATAAGATAATGTTTACAGCAAAATGTCAAGACAGTGGAACAACTATTCACTTGCAAGTTTTTGCTAGTTTTGTGTTCATTAACTTTTTCTGCTAGTTTTATCTTCTTCTCAATTTTACGCTCTATTTTGCTTTTACGCTCTCGCTGCAATGTTTTACTGGAGAAGTTACTATACAAACCAGGGTGTCCCGATTGTTTAAAAATAAAGCGCAATTTCTGCAAAAAAAATCGCCTAAAATCGCCAATTTTTTTTTTTTTAATAAAATTAATGAAATCGATTTAACAAATCTTTTATTTTAAAAATTAGATCTTGTTATAATATAGTAAAACAAAACGAATATAACACCTTCGGGGTAATAATAAATAACACATATCACTTATATAATAATGATGTATAAACCATTTTCTTTAAAAATACGCATACTTTTTAAAAATATTTGTATCAACACATTTTCCAATAGGACTGCGCCATTATTAAATTTATTATAACTCATATTAATTGAATAATCGCACAATCCGCTTTTAAGCGCTCGGCGCTAAAAATAAAATAAAAACCTATAATAAAGCGAGATCAACTATTTCCACAATGGGCACGTTCAGAACGAACTGTTGCGATTGCACCTTCTGAACGCGTTGTTTTTACTTCTGATCAACTGAACAGTTGCGTGTTAGATACTCGTAATATTTTTCTGATCATTTGAGACAACGTGTTGTGTGTTTTGAATTTGACAGCTAATGTATCTAGCCGTTCAGAAGACGCATTACGATCATTGATTTTTTAGCAACGGTTGCGCTCAACTTTTGCACCTTCTGAACATACCCAATTTCTTCAAAATCACCTAGGGCTGGTTTCTCCATCTCAACTTAACTTAGTTAAAAGCTCAGTTAGTCTAGACTTAATTTCCGTAACTTAACTTAATTTAATATTTTGGCTAACCTGTTATATGAGAAACTGTGTTGGCGGTTAGTTAAAACTTAACTTACCGTAAGAAACTTAAGAACCTGTAGATTTTAGGTTCTCAAGTTACGGCCTTACCGAAATTGAGAGCGGTGAGAGAATCAGGCTTGCCAGACTCTCGTTTTTGTATTTCTTAAAAATAAATGAAAGCAAACATTTTTGTTTGCATAAATTTTTTTGATATGGCATTTTAGCCAGCGAACTGTTAAACAGCTGAAAAAAGAAATACAAAAACAAAATATTTCCGCTCTTGGCTTAAGTTGACGTGTTGAATAACCATTGATGATTTCTTACGGTAAGTTAACTTAAGTTAAGTCTGGACTAACTGAGCTTTAAGCCAATTTTCTTGACTTAGTCATGAATAAGCTGTGTAAAACGTAGGCTAACTTTTGACTTAAGTCAGTGGTTAAACTAAGTTAAGTTGAGTTGGAGAAACCAGCCCGTAGTGTCTGAATCATTTACATTTGTGTTGTTGTCATATACTTTTTGAACTATTCAACCTTGATTGTTTGATATTGGAAGCGTTTTGCAGCAGAAACTATTGGACCTCATATAAAACTTTATTCGAACTATTGAATTAAGGCTTTCCAACCTCTCCAATTTCGAATCTTAGTTTTTGTTGAATTCATTACGGAAAAAAACGCGCTCAACAAAAACATGTGAGTGCGGCAAGGATAATAATATGAAGGCTATTTTACTTACATATGTATATTTCCAAACATTTTATTACCTGTTGCGGTTTTCACTCCGTAAGCAATTATCCAAAATTCTTCAGAGTCGGTTGGAATGGTTCTGAAAAAAGTTATTCCATGCTGCTTTTCTTTCCTTCAAAGTCAAATAGTGAATTGGCAGGTCCCTGAAACTCGCTCTCTTGTGATTCACGCACCTTTCTGCTGACAAAATCAAAGCTTTTTTAAAGTATTTAATTGACTAGGTAATCGATTCAAAAGTTCTTCGATTAGGGTGATTAAAAATGTTTGTCTTTTAATATGCTTCCTAAGTCAAGTTTATCACGCAGTTCATTAGCCTCTTCTGTAAAATTATTGTGGAAAACTAAGTTTTGTGTATTTTTATAATTGGAAAGAATTTATTTGAAGGGGAAAAATCGCCAAAAATTGCCAATGGCGATTTCATAAATTTTTACGCGCAAATATCCAAAAAAAAATCGCCAAATTTGGCGCGAAATCGCCAAGTCTGGACACTCTGATACAAACCTAAAGTAATTCACACTGCCGTGGGGAAACCGCATTATGACGCGTCTTCACAGGCGAAAATTATTGCCTACCATATGCCATTTTGTTTGCCAAATGTGTATAAGTTTTATCAGTAGCAATACTCGTGTATGGGGATATTTTATCTTGATAAAAACATTTGTAAGATGGCTTAAAATAAGTATGTTCGTTGCGTTGGAGCGCAAATATGCTTAAAAAATTTTAAGAAAATGTGTTATTTCACGTCCAAGTACATAATCAAAAATAGCACAGACCCAGCGGCAGATCCAGACTATTTTTTGGGGGGTGTTTTCCGGAAAATTTTATAGCTTTTGAATCGTTAAGAAAGTTTATAAAAAAGGGATATAAGTTGTTTCTGTGCATTTTCTTGTAGGGCATTGAATTCTCTGAAAAATTACCCTGAAGTTGGTTGTCTTAGTAGAGATGATTAAGAGTATTAAATATGTTAATGATATTGCTGAACGAGATATAGCGTTGATACAAAATTATAATCAAACTTTAACGAAATAATTATGCAACACAGTGTACTATTAAATTGATTGACTTGTGTTTAGAGAAACTTTGGACGGTTAATTTATTCGTTATTTATATGTTAAAATAAATAAAATTTTTTTTATGTTTTTAATGTGGAGAATTTGTCCTCCTGGAATGTTAAAAAATTCTGGTCACCTTATAATATGGCCAAAGGTTGAGTTATTGTAAACTTTCTGGTTATTGTAGGACTTCACAAAGTGTTGTGAAGAGTTAAGGGTACAATAGATCTGTTAGGTTCATTTCTAAATCCTTTGCAACATATACTAGTAAATGACACTTTAAAATTAATTTGTAACATAACCCACATTTCAGATTTTCCACACACTAAAAGCCCCAATCAACAAGTATCATGCGACAATTTTGTTAGGTGTTGCAGAGATGATCGCAACTATAATGTGTGTCTTCCTCATCCATTTCACCGGCAAACGGCCATTGGTTATGATCTCTACACTTGGCGTGGGAATTTGCATGTTTGGTACGGCCACCTATGCCCACTATGTGAAAGTGGTGCCCGGGTTTGCAGTGGACAATGTCGTTAGTAATGCTTCCAATATAGTGCCCAAGGAAAGCTTAATAACACAAGCAAATATTAGTAAACTTTTTGAAACCGATACAGCTGCCCTATTGCCAGCAATGGCGGATAGCGCAATTGATAAACAGCTGTTGGAAACCACAACTCTGTACACCCTAAATGATGATGTCACCACAGAGCTGACCACTTTAGTGTCCAACAGTGAAACCAACGAAACGTGGAAGCATTTAAATCGCACTAAACGGGAAGAGCAAGATCTTTCTTTCGGCGATTACAATGATCAATTATCCTTGGTTGAATTACCTACCTTGGATTATACACATTCGAATAATACCAGCCGTAATTCCACGCCATTTTTCGATCTTAGTGACTCGGAAGAGGATTTGCATACAACAACTATGCCATCGGATTTGGATGCAAAAATTACCACAGCCAAAGCAAAAACAGCAACGGCCGAACGTAAAGTGAAATTGCCATCCACAGAGGAAGTCACCAAGGAGATATTGCTACCTGTGCCCAAACAAGCTACCAACAATCTAGTATGGCTGCCATTGATTCTATTGCTGGGTACCGCATTTTTCGCACACTTTGGCATACGTATGATACCTTGGATACTCATCGGCGAAGTATTTCCGGCGCCGGTACGCAGCACAGCTTCGGGCCTTGTCAGTGGGTTGGGTTACATTTTTGGCTTCTTGGCTAATAAGCTCTTTCTCCAAATGTTGACAGCATTAACATTGCCTGGTACATTCTGGCTATATTCGGCGGTGGCATTAACAGGCGCTTTAGTGTTGTATTTCACGCTGCCCGAAACGGAAGGACGCACATTACATGTACGCATTGTTTTTGATTTTCCATATAGCAGCTAAATTAATAAATGTTATAATTACAGGAAATTGAAGCACATTTCTCCAAAAAGTCCGATACAAATTTGTTTAGAAAATCACGTCGTCAAGATTTAAGTAAAACAGCCATTCAAATGGATAATCTTCAGAATTTGCAGATTCCAATAAGCGCACAAACTGAATCAAAAATAATTAAACTACAACAAAGCGACTTTTTGCCACAAAACACTACAAATGGCGGCGAAACCAATTTAGCGTTCGAAGAAAATAATATTACACATTTATAATAGCGAGAAACGGAAATTGTACATATGTAAGCACCATGGTGGAATAATACAAGGTGTTGGATATTGACAGCGTTCTCGCTCTAATCTGCCATCTTGGCTCCCTTAGCAAAATCGGTGTTTCCCTCTTGAAAAAAGTACATTTTACCGCCTTTAAAAAAACTAAACTACCTCATTCCCTATTCCAAAACTGATTTGCAATCACTGAACAATTCTTTGACATTTACTTTATTCTTATTCGTTGACAAAATTCAATTAAAAATTAAAATCATTAATTCGACAAAAAACATTGGCTTTGTGTATTCTCCAAAGGCCTAAAATCAGCCAAATACCCTATGTGGGTCGGCTTAATCAGTAAAACGTGACAGTAGTTGACTTTTGAGGGTAATATATCGGTCTTGAGCTGGTACGGCTTTTAAAACATCCGCAGCTTCCTTTAAAGCATCGCTGCTAATTGCTGAGAGGACCAGATTATATTTCCGGACATAAGATGTGGTCTTGTACGACTGAAAGGTGGCCTCAATTTGTAGAAACCATTTGTTTGGCATCTCAGTTCAGAACGGTCGCAGCTTGCATTGCGATACAAGCTCCACATCTTTAGTTGGCATTTTGTTCGATGAAATATTTTCCCCATCCGTCGATGCGCCCTTTTGTCGACTCCGTCATGTTGTAACGACTCGGGGTCACCACTAATTTTTTGATGGCGAAATTTTTGTAAGTTATATCAATCATCTTATAGTATTTTCGGGTAAAAATTAGACCCCCAAGCGGTTTTGGAAGTTTGACTATAATTATAGGACATTGTGTTTAATAAACTAAATTACCATTTATTGCATAAGTGCTACGTAATATATACTACTTTCGCAAATTTAGCTTATCATAATATACCGTTTGTTACTATTTATATGCAAAATTTGATATGAAAGAGTACCAAATTTCGTACTACTTCGCAAAGCGTGCTTCTTTTCTTCCCGTTTCTCTCGTTCTTCCATATTACAACCTTTTGTAAGGGAGCCGTCGACATGAGCTGTCACTACGTACAACACCTTGTATAATTCCACCATG